CGCGGCGGTGTGGAGGTAATCTGACATTTTCGAAATGTTTGGCGAAAGAACTCACTCGCGGAGGTGACGTCCGCGCGAGACGGGGCTGCGATTGGTCAACGGTACACGTGACGGCCGGGCACGTCACTTCCGTTTCGCGGTAAAACCACGGTTAACTGTTTGGACCGTACCGGTTGCTCGTCGTAGCGAGGATCGGTGGAAAGAAGAGTATCTGCTGCGACGCTTCAGGAGCGTTCGAGGAGGCAACATGCACGTGCTCAAGCGCGGTAACCTAAACAAATTTAAGCGAGATTCGCCGCGACCCGACGAATCCTCGCGCGAAACCGTCGTCCCCTGGCCCTTGTCCTTTCTAATCTTGACTTCTCTCTCTCTCTCTGTTGTCAGATGGACGTAAGGAGTCTGTGCACTTCGACAAGATAACCGCGAGAATCGAGACGCTATGTTACGGCCTGGACCTGAATTATGTGGACCCAGTAAGCATTCGCACGTGTACGCTTGTAAACTAGAACAGGAAGGGAACCTTGTTTCTGTATCACTGTTCTTGTCATTCATATTTGCATTAATGAATGTTTTCTTGAAAGTCACATCCAGTTAGGCTCGGCCTGTAATGAGTTGTTAGTCAGAAGTCAGAACTACATGTCTCTATCACTGTCCTTTTTATTCATGATTGCATTAATGTTTTCTTGAAAGTCACGTCCAGTTAGGATCAGTCTGCGAGTTGTTAGTTGTCGGAAGTCAGAGCTATATTTCGGCCCTTTTTCTTTCATCCAGAAAGAAAAAGCATCGACGTATAGTTCCGACTTCTGACTAACTACTGACATCTCGTTGCATACCAGTTCTCAGACTCACACAAAATCGTTGGTCGAAGAGAAATAAATTGCTGTGTATTTTTCTTTTGCAGACTGTGGTCGCACTTCGAGTTATCAGCAATTTGTGCTCCGGCGTGACAACAAGCGAATTGGACAACTTGGCGGCTGAAACTGCGGTGTCTATTGTTGATCAACACCCAGATTACATAATCTTGGCGGCCAGAATAGCCATATCCAATCTGCAAAAGCAGACGAAGGAGCTCTTCAGTGGTGAGACATTGTCACGAGCGTGTCGGCATCGCATTGTCAATACATAATTTATTGTTAACATCTCTTATCTTACAGAGGTGATGGCTGATTTGTATCACGCTGCAAGCTCGGCCACGAAGAACTGCTCGCCCATAATCAGCGAGAAATATTTTAACATTATCCAAAGCAACGCGCACAAGTTGGACTCCGCGATAATGCACGAGAGAGATTTTAATTATTCTTATGCCACGTTTAAGATGCTCGAACGCGATCACTTGTTGAAACTGAATGGAAAAGTCGTTGAAAGGCCGCAGTACATGTTGATGCGCGTTGCCGTAGCTATTCACGGCGAGGATATCGATAAAGCTGTTGAAACCTACAACTTTATGTCTAAGCAGTATTTCATACACAACGCATTGACGATAGACACCGCGTGTACCGTTAAGCAACAAATGGCCAAGTAATTACTTTTATACTAACGATCCGTCGGGCACTGGAACGTGTTGTCGAATAAACGATATATTTTTTTTTACAGCTTATATTCGTTAACAATGTCTAGCGATAGCATAGATGGAATATTGGACACGTTGGAGAAATTTGCTGTTCTTTGCCATCATGATGGAGAGATAGGGTTCAATGTGCACTGTATTCGAGCGAAGAACACGCCCATAAGAGGCACAGGAGGCGTGTCGAACGGACTGGTGCCTATGCTAAGAGCGTACAACACGTCTATTGCGACTGTCTCCAAATACGGCAAGAGCGAAGGGCCGGTTACTGTGTACTTGGAGATCTGGCATTCCGATATCCCCGAGTTCATAAATCTCAAGAAGAGTATTGGTGATTATCTCCTACTGTTACTTCCTTTCGCGCGGCTCTTGACAAAGAAATACATATAAATATCTGCTTAAACAATTACAGGCGACGAGAAATTAAGGGCTAAGGGTATGTGTTACGGATTATTGATTCCGGATATATTTATGAGACGTATTTATGACAATGGCTTGTGGTCCTTCATGTGTCCGCATGAATGTCCTGGACTAGTCGAAGCTTACGGTGATGAATTTGAAGCTTTGTATACCAGGTCATTAGGTTTCTACTATCGTTTGAACCAACGTAGAGTTTATAATTTATGAAAGAAAGGTGTTTTTACTTAGGTATGAAAAGGAAGGGCGTATTCGAAAACAAATTAATGCCAGGGACATATGGGTTAGCATTGTTGATCTACAATGTGAGATGGGAGAGCCATTTATAATTTACAAAGATCATTGCAATCGCAAGTCGAACCATCAGAATTTGGGTACGATTAAAGGCAGCGGTTTCTCCACCGAGATCGTTCAGTATTCGAGTTCCGACGAGGTTGCCGCGTGCAATACAGCCTCGATCGCTGTCAACATGTTCGTGAATTCTGACAAGAGAGCTTTCGACTTTTATAAACTCAAGGAAGTAGCGAAAGTCGTCACCCGCAATTTGGATAAAATGATCGACATCGATTTCTATCCTCTCCCAGAGGCAAAATTGTCATGCAATAAACACAGAGCTATCGGTAAGTTGTTTGCGCGCAGTTCACGTACTATGTGCATTTTGCTCCGTTTAAAACTCACTTTTAAAACCTCAGGCATTGGCATCCAAGGACTAGCGGATACATTCATCTTAATGAGATTCCCGTATGAAAGCAAGGAAGCTTCAGGACTCAACGTCCAGATTTTCGAGACTCTCTATTATGGCGCTCTAGAGGCTAGCTGTGAGTTAGCTGCCGAGAAAGGCCCTTATGAGTCGTACGAGGGCAGTCCAGTCAGTAAGGGTGTAAGTATCCAAGAAAACACTCTTCTATTGTCTACTTTAATTTGTTGGAAATTATTTACGCGTGCAAATTTGTTTCATAGGTCCTTCAGTATGACATGTGGAATGTAAAACCGTCAAATTTATGGGATTGGGATATCTTGAAGGCAAAAATTGCCAAATACGGAGTGCGCAATTCTTTGCTAATAGCGCAAATGACGGTTGCATCTATGGCACAAATGTTGGAAACTAACGTATCAGTTGAAACATACACGAGCAACTTATACACGATACAGACATCGTCGAAGAAGTATTCCGTTGTTAAACCACACTTGCTGCGAGACCTAATCGAGAGAGGTCTTTGGAATCAGGACATGTATAAGAAAATCATTAGTAATGGCGGATGTATACAAGTAACAATCATTTAATTGAACTACGTTGTAACGTGATTTTATATTACGTAAATATTTATATAAAATAGATATTGTATTTTGTGAGTAAACCGCTGTCTCGTTTGCAGAACATTGAAGACATACCCGAGGATATGAGGCTGATTTACAGAACTGTTTGGGACATTCCACAAAAGGCTTTCTTCGCGATGGCTTCTTCTCGTGCACCTTTTGTCGATCAGTCGCAATGTTTAGATGTTCATATGACTGATCCGAAGCCGAAGCTCACAGCCCTTCATTATTGTGCTTGGGAAGTAGTAAGTACCTGGTGTACATCATGTATATAGTTATTTTCAAATTGCATACGAATTACACATGAATTTAATTTAATTGCGTGTTTGCAGGGTTTGAAAAGTAGTATGCACAATCTCATAACTGACAAGGATAATGTAAAATAAACAAGATAAAGTTAATGTGTGTTTAAACAAAACAAAAGTCCAAAGAAAAGTGAAAACACTGAACTTCATATCGGACCGAAAGCGAGGGTCTTATAAATTTTTATAATAAAAATATATTAATAAATAATAGCGTTTTTCTTTCTTTTAAGATACAAGTGTTGATACTTTTACCTCTTTCCAGTATCTTTCCTGTATCTCTTTCCAGTTTTGTAAAACAAATTGTCACTATAATAAAACATGAAGATTTAATTGATTTGTTGTCTTGGATATCATAAAGATCATAAACTTCATTCTGGGAACTGAAAGCGTCAGATTTCATGCTGACGCTCGACGCTGGATTCGAGCGTCAAACCTGGTCACGTAATATTTGAATTGCTCCTCCATAGATTGGCGGCAAATGTAGTCACGTGACCAGATATTTGAAACTCAAATCCAGCGTGAAATCTGACCCCGATACAAGCAGATACGAGAAGCGTCACTAGTGGTTACCTGCAGTTGCTACAAAGCAGACGAGAAGGAAGTTGTTAGGTTAACTCACATCTTTGATCTTCGTAGGGACGCTGGTTTATTGAAGTTACCCTTTTAAGATGAAGACCTCACGAACTAAAAAAGCGCGGAAAACTCTTGGCTTTTATGTGAACAATTACAAGTTTCGTCAGCCCTTTCAAGTCCTCGTTGACGGCACATTTGCAGTCGCGGCATTACAGGTTAGCTGTAAACACTGTTATTTTTCTACCTGGCATCAGATTTTACTACGTTCAATTTACCTCATCCGTCATATTTGTGACCCTCGTTGCTTTTCAGGGCAAGCTTAATATACAGGAGCAGCTTGCAAAGTACTTCCAGTCCGAAATAAAGCTGCTGACAACAGCGTGCACCATCTCGGAAACCGAGAAACTCGGTGTATTCTCTGCGGCGGTGAACGGTGCCACGCAAATAGTAAGGCAGTACGCTGTGCACAGATGTGGACACGAGAAGAAACCAATAAGCGGCTCGAAATGTCTACGATCTATGATAGGAAGAGACAATAGTTCGAGGTACATACAGTATCTATGCGCATTAAGGCAGTCCATATTTCCAAGAAGATTAAACCTCGATCTTTCAATTTTTACATCTTTTAAATCTTGGATACTCTCACGTTCCTGGAAACGTAAAGTTTCAATCTGTTAGAATGATAAAGTAAAAATCTGTTAGATTTTTTGTGAAATAAGCATATCCTTTCATGTCTGTCGTAACCAGTTTAGACAACTCGCTTGTGTACTCTTGAGTCTTTGTATTGGGACGGAGAGGGTCTAGAAAACTCTAACAGGTTTAATATGTGTGTGAAATTCAGTAACAGAAAAATATTTTTATTGTGATAAGTCAATCATAATTTTCCAAAGAATTTCATTCAGCTAATACATAGGAAAGATTGTTTCTCACTTTCATTGCTTTAAGTGCACATGCCCTCTTAAACATATGACGCTAATGAACAAATAATTTAACATATAAACCACAGGAATATATAACAGATAAGTGTTTTAAACCACTGTGTTATAGATATATTGTTGCAACACAAGATCGTGAGCTTCAGGATCAGTTGAGGATTATTCCCGGAGTTCCTGTAATTTATTTGCATGGAAAAGCACCCACGCTAGACCCTCCTTCAGAGGCAAGTCGCAAACATGCTGGAGATACACGGAAAGAACTAGGCATGACTACGTGGGAGAAAGAAAATGTAAAGGCGTTGCGAAAAACGGCGGGGTTGGAAGAAAGCGAAATTAAAAAGAAGAAGAGGAAGAAAAAGGGAGGGCCAAATCCTCTCAGCTGTTTGAAAAAGAAAAAAAGAGTAGAAACATTGAACCAGAAAGATTCCAAGTCCGGCAAAATTCGAAAAAAGAAGAGAAAAATAGCGGCACATGTTAAAGTTTTACTTAAAAATAATCTTTAATGATTCCCTTAGGGTTACAATCTTCTACAATTATTTCAACTAGCGCCACTTGTCCTAAATAACCCTTAATCTGAATTTAACTATTTAATCAATGAGAGAGAGGGCCATCTCCGTCTAGGCTCTCTCTCTCTACTACGCACACATACCCTCTGCATGATTTCCGTTTCCTCTTGTTCCTTTAAAATAACATCTTTTCTCTTCCTCCACTCCCACCCGTTGATCCTTCAAACAGTCTCTCATTCATTTCTTCATTTTCTCTCCTCTTTACTTCGTCCACTCACCATTCTCTTTTCACACTTCCACTCCCTCTTCCTCTCCTTCTCCAACTCAACTTCCTTCATCCATCCCTCTCCAGCCCCATTTTCACTCAACACCCACTCTATCACATCCTGCCAACCTCCTCCACCTATCATCCACTCTTTCAAAGAAGCTTGTAGAACTAACAAGTGAACGTAGAACATAAAATTGTATGTGAAAGTTAAACATGCCAATTTTTGAACATGTATATTCTGTGAATATAATATATAAAAAGCGAAAGAGTTAAAAACTGAGACTTGGGAGAACAAAATACTTTTTCTCCTATTAAATCGATATTCATCTTAAAAAAGAAAAGTATCTGAATACTTTATTGTGTATATGTATAAAGTTTATGATAAGATTTAAGTAGATATCTGTTCTTATATACATGGCCGCATTAAGCGCGAATGTTTTTCATAGAAAAATTTAATAGTCCTACAGTTACGGTATTAATAAAATTTTTATTTTAGACCGAAATGATTGTTACTTAATACAGATAATTTACAATGGTTTATTAGCGAAACAATAGCGAAGTGTGCAACTTTAAGATTGGTATTATTTAAATAGGAAAATATAGTGACTAACAAAAGAGAAAAATAAGCAACACAAAGTTCTTAAGAAAAAAATTGATATTACATTCTTCATTATGTCATTCACCTAGAATATCTAACGTACAGTTAGACACACGAACCTGGAATTAGGAACTTTAATGTATAGAAAGTATAAAAATGTTGGAAAATAATTTTTTCGTTGCAGGTGGTACAATATTATTTACAGTCTTTGTTTAAGAACTTTCAGACAATATTTAATACTATATTGCTAGCATATACATATTTATGAGATGATCATAGAGTGGCAAACCTATATTTACGGAGGCTGCTATTTCTATTTCTCTCGAGAAGTTTAATTTATAAATATACCAAATATGCATCTCTTTAAGAAAGTTCGTATAAAAGTTAGAACTCTTAAAACTTTATACATAATAGGAAATGCTGAGTCCTCTATTTCGGAAATTCTTTCTTGCAAGGAAAAGATGAGAAATTTAATAGAGTTACCACTACATATAATTAGACAACAATCTTTCTATTAGGTATATTTGAATTCAATCATATAAGTAAAACAATTGCAACTTTATCTCATTCGGTTTTTTTAGATATAGACCTTTCCTAATTCACAAATTGCTAGTTACAAAAATAGAATCTTTCTCGGTCGAAGAGTTAGATTTCTAAATTATTAAGCCCACAACTTTCAAAATTAGATGTTTTAATAAAAATTTTTACAGTTTCTTTCATACAAGTACGATTAAATATAATGTCATGAAGGTTTCCATGCGCTATGTTTAGGTTATAAAATTTGAAGAAATATTATAATTTTTATTATTAACTTACAAGTGAAATTTATTTTTAGTCGTCACACGTGTAGAATGTAACACTGTTCATACAGAACTTAACAGTATGACACGAAAAAACTTTTTCAGCATTAGCACTGAACATTCTAGTATTAATCTATCGTCAAATCAATATTATGTTCAACTTAAAACGTTTTTCTTTTTCATTTTAGAATTAAATCAGATATAGCGTATGTAGAAATTATTTTAAAAATTTCATTAAAATATTGAAACGCGTAAAAAGTAAAGTCTATGACGTATTAAATACATACGTATTTCTTAAGTAAAATTAAATAGAATCTGAACGTTTCTGGTAAAGTGATGCGAGTGCTAATGGTTTCACCCACATATCTATACCTGTTTTATATTCTACATGAAAATTACTGCCAGTCTTAAATACGATTTCTGTTAATATTGCTTTTAGAAAAGTAGTTTTTAAACAGAACATAAAAAATCTTATACCATGTATTTAAATAATCTCACAAACGTGATGGTCAATGATGTTGAGTTAATAGCGAACGTGTAGCCATAGCGAGCATTTTCATACGGCGCGTCGATCGATGATTCGGATTACTTGCTACAAACGCAGCTAATTGATTTTGTAGAGTCATTAGCACCGTGCCCATATGTTCCCGTGTTACAGGATCGTTTGGATCCAAATTTAGTATTGCTTCTTCCAACCACCTAAAAAGGCAATTTTTATTTTATCTTAAATGATCAACATGTGCAAATGGTACAGATGTCTATTGCATTTTTATATTATACGATCTAAAAATTAAAAAAAAAGAATAATTATAAATACTTGTGCTTCAACTCTGTACGATGGCCTAAATCAGCAGATAACTGTTGAACAAGAGAAAGAATAACAGGCTGCTGCAGAATACATCTTGAAACTTGTCCTTGAGCTCCTGTACACGAAAATACTCTCGCAGGTTCCGTTTTCTCACACGCTAATACCACCAATCCTAAATCACTCGCACTCAGAGCCTGTTGAAAAGCGGCGTTTAATTGACCTTTTTGAATGAGAGACGTGACACGCGCTTGAGCATCAGCTACAGCGGTTACAGGTATAGCAGGCGTTGTAGCTCTCGATCTACAGGGTTTGAGAAACGGATGTTTTAATGGTAACCTGCATTTATGCGATTAAATTTAAATTTACAATAGGTTCCTTACCGTGCACTGGAAATTTCTATAAGGTGTTGATTCAGATTTTCTCGTATAGAATCCCGAATTGCTCGAACAGTACCATCTTGCATCGTCGTCAAAACTCTACTCAATTCAGCCTGTATTTCTTCGCGTACCAACGTTGATAACATTTCGCTCAACTGTTCATTGTGACTTAGATACTGTTTATCGACAACTGTATCGACATGTTGTAAATCTACAAAAGAAAATATTGTACACACGTTGTATACTGAAGAAATATTTAATTGTCCTAATGACGTTGACGAAAGAAGTTACTTACATTCATGAGTACCTTTAACAAAGGCGTCCTGGATTTGCTTAAACATAATTTTGCAGATTTTCTCCATACTAGGTAAAAGGATAGACGTGAACGTTTCCTTAAAAGCAATTTCCACAGCTGGTTTAACTGCATTGGCAGCCGTTATAGATAAGGTATCCTTCACATGCGAACTCTTTATTAATTCAGTGATGTTCTTCTGGAAGTGTTCGTCCATTTGATTCGCGTCTAATCTTATTTGATGTTTGAATGGTTTTATCGTCTCTTCAACTGTACGTGGCAGGGTACTTTCGATCTTGTCTTTGATCGTTGTCTCGAATGTATTTAGAAATTCATGTTGGCGACTCATTTGGTCGTAGAAAGATTGCTCCAGGTTCGCATTCTGCTGTTGAGACATTCTCGCCAATGCGGATTCTAATTGCGTGCTTACTGGCGATTCTTGCCGCAATCTAGTAACTTCTGTGCGCAATTCTTTCAGCTCTTGACACTGATCCTGAATTATATCTAAAATAGATTTCAACTTGTCGTTCAGTTCGAGATTGATGTCGTTGTTCGTTCGCCACGGCGTTCCAGGTTCATCGGGAGGGGACGACGTCTTCGGCTCATCTTTCGTTTTCTGCCCGTCATTCTCATCGTCTTCGGGAAATTCTACCGGATCTTGCATCGTGTGCACACTAACGTCTTTAAGCATGACCATTGGGATATTAGACCAATCCTCATCGGCGTTCGTTTTCGTTTCCGGCTTGTCGATATCAGTCTCCTCGTCCGCTTTAGTATGAGACATGATTTCTCTTACTTCTCTAGATGGACTGCTGCCGCAACTCGCAGGAGCTTGCTCCTCTATCTCGTTTTTCACGAGCGGCTGGTCAGATGCGTTCAAAGCTTGTACCGCTTGCGCAATAGGACTGCTGGACAAGACTTTCCTCAAATCTGGACTTTCGGGATTAGACTCCAATTCGTTGCCCTCTTTTTTCGCAGGCGAACTGAACGCATCAGGCGTCATTAGGTTTAAGCTACCACTGTTGTGATTCATTGTCGCCTCGATTGTAGTAGACAAAGACCGCTCTCCCTCGCAATTTTCTTCGGACATACCGTTGTGAGTAACCGTTGCCAGATCTGGCATATCTGGATCCTCGGGATAATCCAGTGAATCGTGAGTAAGTGTATCTATAAGGTAGTTGCCACTTGCTTGCGAGGCAGGCTTGAAGGCAATATGACACTCCTGCAACGACTTTGGTTGAACTAAATACATGGAAATGACAAGTTGTTCGTCGTTCTCTTCAATCTCTTCGCATAGATCTTCCAGCGATTCGCCAGTAGACCGTATCTTACGTTGATCAGCGTCGACAATTCCGAAGCTTAGAATTGGATATGGCAGGAGAAACTCTGATACCGTGCTTATGCATGCTAGCGCCTCACCTTTGTCTTTCGAAAGACTCAGTATATATAAAACTTTATTATATATGTCTGAAAGAAATAGATATCCGGCACTAAGGTCTAATCCCGCTTTCAGTACGGGCAATTTGCTCGTAGAAGGATTTACAACAAATTTGATTGTTTGTAGACAAGTCCACAATTCACACGACCATACTTTCAGTTCTAAATTATTGTCACACCCCGTCACAGCAAATCTCCAAAATTGAACTCTGAAAAATAGAGCATTTCCCTCAAACGTTCCGTTTACTCGACGGAGATTTATACGCCGAGTCAACATCTCCGAAATACTCACTCAGGCTGATAATTTTTGTGATCATCGAGGAAAAATAGGCAGGAAATGGGTCGTCCTCCATGGGGTCTCCATTGATGTAGACAACGTGGTTGCGATTGGCCGTTTTGAGAATTACTATGAAGGAAGACTTGAAAGAATTTCACTTCTCCGTCTGTACTAGCAGTTGCTAACGCAGTACCGTCCGGACTAAGTGTAGCTTCAACAATAGTTCCCGAGTGCTGATCAATTTCCATCATGCCGCCACTTTCCTTAATACTCGGATCTGTTACCTGATTAAAGTGAAAATTGAGAGTCATTCACACATACCCTTTTGTATGCAATAGGAGTTATGCGTTTATACATACTTCTACTGATCTAAATCTCGACGCTATCGTCGCAACCGACCACAATTCAACTTTGGAGCCACGAGTTACGACTAGTAATTTTGATACTTCGTCCACGTCGGAGGCATCGCCAGAGACATCCTCTGGGATGTACGGACACCAGATCACTCGGTGACTGGTCGGAGAAACGTCTTCCGCGTCCACTTGTAATACTAAACTACATAATAATTCAGACGGCGTGGGTTCAATCGTGTGTATAAAAAGCGATCCTGTATAATCGATACACGCAAGAATTGCATTGGAAACATGGGCGAACGCAAGATCTTGAATAGTACCACGCATTCCTCGCAGCAGAGCTCTATGTTCTAATTCCTTGAACACAACACGAACTACCCCACCACCGGTACCAACTAGAAGGTGAAAAATTCATCTAAATAGAGGTACAATGATTCGTGTCGCCTTTAAAGATAAGTACACATTTAATTTAGAGAAAAAAAGGAAATCGATCTTCACTATCTTCATTGAAGTACATATCGGACGTGAAGCATTTTGCAATTTGCAAAAAAAAAAAAAGAATAAAACGTCTCAAACAGCACAAACTTCAATCTTGTCAGCCATTACCTTTTAAACCGTAGGCTAAATATTTTCCAGATACATGAACGGCTAACAACTGGCCGGTGTAAAGATGGTGATCCCATGTGAAATCAACGATGTTCTTCAATTTTACTTTAGAACTGCCATGGTCGTGATCCCCGGGGGAAGGAACGATGACCACATCTGTGCTACATAGCTCAACTGAATGTTGATCCTCCCGTCCGCTGAACTCCCTGCAGAAAATGGAACGCTGCATATAAGTAAACCCGTTCTATTTGATGGGACACTAAAGAAGTGACTTTTATAAATGTTTATAACGTTTTGACACGGCTAGAGATGTTACGCTGAAGTACCGCTACTCAGTTTGAAAAATGTCAGTTCATTATACAAAACGTTGTTCCTCTCAATAATTAATTTCCGTTACTTGACCCCTTCATTGATTTTTATCTTTCATCTGATATAAAGAAAACTGAAATAAAACGGGTAGTGCAAAAAGTATATTAATAAAATAAAATGCTAAGCTATTTATGCATGGGTTCATTTTAGAGACAGCTGAGACTCCTAAAAGCATTGACACTTGATTGAAACTAATCGATGCCATGCAAGCAATACAAAGTTTCAAAGGCTAGTCCAAAAATTTGAAAGTACTTGTTAAATGAAGAATGTTTATTTGACACAGGCCTAAATTTTTTAGAAATAAAAAAGCAATTTGTTTCAATTATTTCCCGGTTTTACACAAGACGGGATAAAAGACCATTTGTGCCATCTGATCCATACTTTGAGTGATTGAACGAATATTAACAATGCACAAATACTAAATATTTAGATCAACATCTGTCAAGATCAAGATCATTTGGGGTTGACCTAATTTAAATATTTACCTTAACAATTTTTAAGTCGCTCTCTTTTCAACAACCTGCTCGTCCCTACTTTCTATCTTTTTCACGTTCTAATATACATTTCTACGAATGTGGATTAGGTTCAATCTCGATTTAACCCACTTTTAATTTTCTTCCAAATTTCTCTGTCCATTTCCATCAATGCAGATAAACTTTAATCTCGGCTTAGCTGACTTCCCATCTTTCTCAAACTCTTCAGACTTAGAAGAGGATAAAAAGTAAGTTAAGCCGAAATTAAAGCTTATCTGTCGACAGAAACGAATTGGAAACAGATATAAAAAGAAAATGCGTCAAGCCGAGACGAAAATTAACATCGACGCCGGTACGAGTTTCCAGAGGCGCGACAGGACTCTTGATCCGGCTCGAAAAGCTCGGGGGAAAGCTCATAAAACTCTCATCGGGGAACTTACACCGTCTGCTGATAGAGATGCCTCAGATTGCCCTCCCCAGTCTTGCTCATGTCGCCGGCCGCGTCCCTGCGAAATAAAGAAACATTTACGGGTCTGCGCCCGGGTCGGCCGCGGCTATCGGATTCCTAACCCCAGCCGGCTGGGCCCCGCGGCCTCCATCTCTCCCCCTCGTTCTTACCTCTCGGGCATCAATGCTGCCGTTGCTCGCCGTGCCGCTTGTTCGGGATCGAATGGATCTAATGGAGCAGCCGCGCGCTCATCACCGACGCCGTTCGTCGTCCCGTCGTCGTGATCTCGAGCACGCGAGATCAATTCGGCAAATTCCAACGAAAGTGAAACGTCAGGCGGCCATCACCCACTTGTCGGTACATTCGTGCGCGAGAGGCGTCAGTGCGGGCAATCGCTGTGGCCGGGGAATATCCGGAATTGCCTGGCGGCACTGCACCCGATGCTGGTTTCGCGCGCGTTCCAACGCGTCACCGATTGGCCCAGTTCGCCGCGGGACCTTCCCATTGGTCGGTCGATCTGGTAACGGCCGGCACCAATCGGAAGCTGAGCGTTGTAATACCCGACTCCCCCGCGAGGGTCGCCAGAGTCAACCCCGTGGTCGAGTATGATGGTTTTGGGAACGCGGCTCACTTCGTTCCCGCGCGCTCGAAATTTCAAACGTCGGTCGTTCGGCGCCGCGCAATGCGCGCGCAATGGCGGACATCGGAGTATCGCGCGCGCGGGGCAACGTCGTCGCTTTTCTGTCTCCCGACTTTCTGGCCTGTCGCGAAGGAAGGTACTTGTGCCCGATCGAAAGAGCGACGATCGCGAGCTCGACGTTCGTCCTCGCGACTCACAAAGAGCGTTTGTCTGTTTCAGGCGGCTGTAATTCCAGGCGGCCGTAATTCCAGGCCGTAATGGCGGGCGACGCTTCCTCGGGCGGCGCGTGAAACCGACCGATCGTGAGTATAATTTCAAGCGCGTCCAGATTATTGAGAGATACGTCGTATCTACGAACAATGCCGCAAACTTGTTTTCTTAATTCTTATCTATATTTCTAACAACTGGATCCCCAGCGAGAAGTGACTCGTCGATCGACGTTGAATCGACATCGATCCGCGAGTCATTTGTCACTGGGTCAACTTCAATCTCGGTCCGCCATTTACTTTGTATCTTTCTCCAAGGGTTGCAAATAGTTGAACCGAATTTGAAGCTAATCCGCATCTTCGAAGCGGACGTAAAAGCAGCGAGGCTAAGAATATTGCGATCGCCACTTTCCGCCGAAGAGACGGGGGGAAACTTCAGAGAAGGCCGGGAATTTATTGATAAGGAGAGACGTTCGCGATAAATTTACATTTTATTTCTTACGTTATATTACACTATAGACAGGCTTTTTCGTTCGCGTATGTGTCTATCCTTTGGAAAATGGCAGTAGTGCTCAAACGTACGTAGACCCAAAAAAAGATGGCAGTAAATTCAGCTAATGTCGCCCCGCAAGCGACTTGACGATTACAACACGTACGTTCCGCATGCCGGACGTTTTTGGATCACATATATTCGCGAGGGACGCGAGAGCGGAGAGCGAGTCGGATCGTAATACACACTGATACTCTGTGCTGATACCATCAACAGCGCTCAACTTTTACCTAATAAATTATTAACGACAACTCGAACCGTTCGTAGCTCCCTTTCCAACTACATAAAAAGTAAGCGGTTCGAGGGAAGAATTGGTGTCTATCTACAATAGACGATTTAAGCCCTGAGCCCTTAAGAAATTGACTAATCACAGTCGCGTATTCTACTCATACTTGGCCGTGATTCGTCAAGTTCTTAAGGCTTAGGGCTCAAATCATCTATTGTAGACTGGGACTTACCCCTGGTCCACAATCTTGCTTTAAGTAAGCTGTAAACCTTAAGCCGTAAGAATTTAACTAATCACAGGTAACCCCTGGTTCACAATTTTGCTTTAAGTAAGTTTTAAGGCTTAAGCCATAAGAAATTAACTAATCACAGGTGAGAGTGAGGGGAATAAATGCCTATGATTGGTTAATTTCTTACGGCTTAAGGCTTACAGCTTACTTAAAGCAAGATTGTGGACCAGGGGTTACCTGTGATTAGTTAAATTCTTACGGTTTAAGGCTTACAGCTTACTTAAAGCAAGGTTGTAGACCAACACTTACAAAGGTTCGTTCTCTGAATCTGAATTCTTAATTATAAGAAATCCCAGCGAGAATCGAATCGACATCGATACCGTTGTTTTGCCTTTACATGTTATTGTATTCCTTTGATACGAGCGCGACATTGTTCCTATTCATTTTTATTTTTCGAATATTAGATATTGGCCACTTGCTCGGCACATTGCTCGCGCAGGCGTCGTCCATTCGTTTTCACTTTGGCCCGTATTCAGAATCTTTTATCGATAAAAGCGCCTCTAAAAGTAGCCAACCGGAAGACTTATTAGAGGCGCTTTTATAGATAGAAGAAAAAATCTGGTAGATTCAACCAGTCGTCTGTTAGAAAATGGACGAATCAGAATTCCTTTAGGATTTACCAGACGTGTAGTGAAGCAAACTTCTGGTAATGAAGTATCGAGCCCTATCGTGCCAACTAGAAATTCTGCTTGGTTTAGCCAAAATACACTCTATCATACATGTCTTGTTGTTACAATCAACGCATCTTTCTCAGTGTAGCTAACAGAACTCTGAGTTTTACATCCGATTCGCTCTTCGCAGCCGCGCCCCTTCCGACGAGACGGCCACGATGATGTTCTGGTGGCTGGAAGATCGGCGAGCTCACCGTTGGATTATCGTCGGCGCGCGGTACGCGACTCTTTCTCTCCAACGTTTTGTCTCACAAATGTCAGCGATCGTCGCCGCGGCAGCCGCGCCCACGAATCTCCAACGGGCCCTCGTCGACGAACGTCCTTACACTTCCTCCGTACTGCCGCATAACGAGTAATTTTTGGGTCTTCTTTCGCATCATATATAATGTTTACACAATGACAAAGCACACTGAGACACTGCGCCAATCCAATAGAAAAACAATATCGTCGTTATTGTGCCGTTAGTATTCACAGATCGAAGGGACCGCAAGGATAGACTCCACGTTTGTTCCCGCGGCGATTTTTCCCGCTTCGTCGGTTACTTTTTTTTCCCTTTTTCTTTCATTCACCCCCTCGGAGCTCGCTCGCTGGTAGGTAACGATTCGGAAATTAAAACCTCCTTCCTTCCCTCCATCGATTACAGGTTTTTACTTTGTTAAGCGTAGTAAATCGATTTACCTAGCGACTACAATCGACCGCGTTAATCATCGTCACGTAAACCGTCGGCGCGATTGCGGTAAAAGAAAGAAAAAAAAACAATGGCGATCATGAGTGTGACCGGTGGGTGGAGAGCAAAGCTAAACCATCTACCTAGCGGAGGCGTAATGTTGTACTTCGAATTATCTCACAAGTGTAAACTATGCTATATGCGAAAACCTTCCTTGCTCGTACACAGCACTTGCCGCTCTAGAATCAATTAGCCGTCGCGCGCTGACTTCTAAATTTATTTTTTCCGCGCGTACGTAGTCTGACGCAAGTAAGGTCTAAACAGCCGCGAGAGGTGCCGCGAAAATGACGGTTGGAATTACATTACAAAAGATTAAAATCTCTGCACGAAGATATGAAAATTTAAAATCTTTATCGTTTATATATCGAGATGGTCCCTGCGGGATTTTTAATTGTATATATCATTCCTTTGGCTGCACATATATATATGTATATATGTATATATAATTACAAAAACATAAAGTTTCATTTCGCTACAATTAGATTCAAAATTGATATATCTCAGATTTCGTATCGTACTAACAAAAGGCGTCTAACCGGTGCACGGAAATATAGAATCTATATGATTTAATAGACGATACACTTAATGGCTATACTAGGGGAGGGGGGGGTCTATTTTCTTCCTTAACGTTTACGGAACTCTCTTAAGAAATGATATTGAATCGATCGTCACTGGTGTACGAAGTTCAAGTTGGGACAACAGTAGCAGAGAAGAAGAAAAGCGCGTTTCTCGGTTCAGGTTCGCCAATAATGCATAGAATGTAGGCGTTGATACATAACGAGGTAACGTAGATTGACGTGCGGATGTACAAGAGAAATTTAGCTGTAGCTCTTTGCGGGCACGGGGCGCGCGGAAACGCCAATGTGAATGCGAAAAGTATAAGGGGATTATGTACAATTATTGAGACACGACAAGTGTTTGAAATAATAAAAACGCAGGTTTGCAACACTCGCCGCTACGATCCGCGAAGGTCGAGGAACTCGCTGGCTTTAACGATCTCTCGCGATTTACAAATATTTAACAACCAAGTGCATTACAACGTGCTACGCAGTCGCACTTACTCGTTGATATGCTTATGATATATTGCTCTGACTTATAATGTACGCGAGAAGGTAAATAAATAAATAAATAGTCTCGTACGAATAAATAAATTAAGTCGTGATTTTATGCCTAAGCGCGTTTTACGGCTAAGCCCTTGGTACAAAAAACCTAGAGTTAATTGAGGAAAGTACGTGGGACTCGTGTTTGACGGACGGATTCGTGCAAAGGAGAACCAGAATTAGGAATAATATCACGGTATCACAAGCGAAAATGTCGACCAGTCCAGTCCATCTGCTTTGCCCGTCCTTTCTACGCTAGAGAGAAAGAGAGAGGAGAGGGAGAGGAAAAGGGGAGAGAGAGAGAGAGAGAGAGGGAGAGACAGACGCTAAATTGTTCGGCGATAGATCTCGAAAGAATCGTGTCCGCATGGCGCGTTTTAAGTCGGAGCGGCCGTTCGACAACTCCACTCTCGTTTGCACGACGCCGCACAATACTCGCAGTGTTAAAATGTCGTCTATTTGCTGCGTAAATACACGCGCCAGTCGATCTGCACATGCGAGAAGCGATAGACTCAAAAACTCGGGGGGAAAACGTGAAAGCGC